AAGATGTTTTCTTAAGTGTGACAAAATTCTCAATATTCTCCTAGATGTAGGGATACAAGTGAGATTGTCCATAAAAGACTACGCTTTCAAAATTTTTGTAGATTAACATGCAAAATTTTGAAGTACTCAAGTGTAATTTTGATATAAAATAGTTGTGATCAAGTAAGCATCGTTTTTACGAGTGTTGTGAGGGTACTAATCCTTCCTCATACATAACCATGCCCCCGAACCCAATTTTAGTTTTCGTAGACTTAAACATATTTTTTGGCGATCCAATCACATCTGAACAAATTAGTGGTGATTCCTATCATTTTTCAAAAGTCATATTATTTTTTATTTAGTTATAAAAAATGGTGTGGACAAGTCGGATATGTAACATACTCAAATAGAGTGAATTATTAATATTTGACGCATCCTATTTTCGCAAATTATGAAATATTGGTACAACAATAGTTAATAGCATTAATGTCATCTTTTTCCCCAATTTGATGTTTAATATATTATCTTTTCCCAAATTATGCAGTACTGGTATAACAATAGTTAATAGCATTAATGTCATCTTCTTTTCCCAATACGCCATTTAATACAATATATTTTCCCAAATTATGCTGTATATGAGTGAATTACTAATACTTACTATATTTTCTTTTATATATATTTATTGAATTTAAATTATATTATTTTGCACATATTATATATGATTATCATGTTATTAATATTGAATACTTTTAACATTATTTTAAACATCAGTAACTGATCGATATTGAATATTATAATATCGATCAACATTTTATTTTGAGTACAAAATATGTTATATAATTGATTTATCGATGTTTTAGTATTGAAGTACGTCTCGCCTACTAAAGACGCTTGTTTTTTCCATGTTCGTTACGCCTAGGCTCCAGGGACCTTGTGTGACTTGTGACTTTTTAAATTTAGGGTTTGTGTTGAAATGATCCTTAAGCCTGAATCGAATCTCGACTTAATTGAAAACATTGCCTTTTGGAGTTGTCACTAATCTTTTGGGTTATGTATGGTTAGATACTTTAAATTACCTTTTTAAAATGGGGTTATGTGTTATTAGAGATGTACATGAAAGTGGACGGGAGTTGATTATGCATGGAGCCTTGAATACTCCCAAAATTCACGTAATAAGTATCAAATTGGTTATGGGCTATCTTTATAATGAAATTTACAAATTTGAGCAATTTGTTTTTTTAAAAAAAATCATCTTACTTACCTTTTAGGATTTATTACTAAAAATAAGGTTGTTCATGATTAGATAATCTTACAATTTAGTCTAAATGGTTGGTTAATTGTAATAACATCTATTAAATTTTACTAACCATAACCTAATCGTTAAAAAATTATACTTGACAAATTTGACTCGTACTCGATTACCCAAACCTATTTACCAGATCAGAGACCAGATATAGACCCGAACATGATTATCTGTCAAAAATATTGAAGCTTAAATGATCAACAAAAAAAGTGCCAAAAGGGGTGAATTTGCTTTTTGAAAAATTTGAATGTGGAAGAGAAATGATAGAACAATTTACACAATGATTTATAGTGGTTCAACTTCTCAACTAAGTCTACATCACTACCTTAGCTCCACACTAAGGATTTTCTAATAAATTCACTAATTTCTTTCTTTCTTTTTCTAGGCTCAAGAGTAACTTTTACAATCTCCATAGTTTTTCAAAGGCTAAACTAGAACCATTTCCCTTTTACAAAGGTTAAGAAATGTAAACAAGAAAACTTTACAAATGTAGGTGTTTACAATAATTAAGATCACAAGAAAAACAATTAAAAATATTTGCAATGAGCTCAAACACACTTATGTACAAGAGAAAAGGGAAAATAAGAATGAAAGAGATTTTCTCTTGATCTTTATAGTTTGGATAGGTGTTGTAACCTTCTTCAAGTGTTCTTCAGTTGTTTTATATATTGAAATGTGTTTTGTGGGCATTTCTAGATGTTAGAGGAAATTTGGAGTCATTGGGGATAAATTTTTTGTAAAAATAAAACTGCCCAAAATAGGGAGTATCGATACTTGGGCTAGGAGTATCGATATTACCTTTACAATATTTAAATAAACTAGCTGTTAGTGATCGTTGGGCTTGACCAGTACTGATACTAGGGTTTCATGGTCTAGGAGTTTCGGTACCCCTTGAGTATCAGTACTTTCTAAATTGTACTTAAGCCTTAGTTCTGACTGGTTTTAAAGATAGGGGGTTGCCACCAATGATTTTCGAGGTGAGATTGGAACACTTAAAACTTGAGTTTTTTTAATAAAATATTTAATTTTACTAAAATAATAGTGTTATAGTCTATAAAAACATAAAATGTGTTCAAGAGTCGATTACGTATAGGGAAGGGTTAGTACCCCACAATGTCTAAAATTGGTACCTAGTTGGTTTCGTTTTTTCTAATTTAGAAATTTACGAGTTCAAGTTTTTATTTAATTAATGATTCACTATAATGCAATCTTTTTGAAAAGGATATCAATTTATTCAGAATTAATAATGATCACCCTCATGCATAGGGGGAGATTATGTCATCAATTCCTAATAAACAAATATTACCTTAACTTTTGGAAATCATGGTATGAAAAAAGGATGTCAACTTATTTCGAGAATTAATGATGGTCACTCCAAGCATAAGTGAAGATTATATCAATAATCACTATTGAATTGATATTGCCTTAATGATTTTAAAATCGATATTATGCAATCAATCAAATAAATTATTGAACCTTACTTTAATGGATTAAAAAGAAACTAATCTAAAATTGAAGCTCTAATATTTACCGTAATAAATTTTAAAATTTATTGATCGAATAATTAAAATAGCACCTCAAGCATAAGCAGAGACTACTTTAAAATATTCTCATATTTAATCTAATTATTGGATTAAAACTAACTAAATCTAAAACTAAAGGCTTAATCTAAGTTAAGAGTAAATTATTTATTTAAAGAATCTAATCGAGCTAAATCTAAATATAATTCTATAAATATTAATCCTAAGTTAGTTTTAAAATTTTAATCGAATAATTAAAATAGAACCTGAGCATAAGCAAAGACTATTTTAAAAAATTCCCTTAATTATTCTAATGATGACCTAATTTAAAAAATTCTAAGAGGTCTAATATGTCTATTAATAAAGTGAGCAAGCATGGAATCAAAAACTAAAACTTAAAGATTAGAAGATACTAAATTTAAAAGGAATACGTACATAAAAACTTAAAAAATGGTAATGAATAAACAAACATATAAGCATGCAATAAATAAAAGTTAATAAAGAATTGGAGGGAAGAATTCTCCAAGATGAACATAGATAGCGATCAAGAAGAACAGAGAGCCACAAAGAAAGTAAAGAATCGAGAAAGAAGAACGGAGGATAATGAAATATCCCAGCCAACGAATAACATGCAAATAGAAAATGATTCCCAAGATGATGCAGATGCGGCTAAAGAATGTCCCAAGAGTTTCTCTAACCGTATTCATGATCTCATTGATCGAAACATGAAGCATGTTATTATCACTATACTGATGGGAAAGAATATAGGTTATAAAGCACTGATAAACATAATTCATGTATTATGGAAACCAATAGGCAATTTCAATTTGATTGATCTTGATAATGACCACTTCTTAGTGAAATTTGAAAATCTTGAGGATTACACGAGAGTTCTCACTGATGGTCCTTGGATGATCTATGATAGTTACCTGACAGTTCAACCATGGTTAAGAAATTTTACCACCTCTGAAAAGCATCCTTCTCATGTTATCGCTTGGTTGCGCCTTCCTGGCTTACCCTACAGGTATTACAATACTGTTCTAATTAGGACTATTGCGAATACGATTGGAAGAGTCATCAAAATAGACTACAATACCAAAGTTGAAGAAAGAGGGAAATTTGCTAGAATTACAGTTGTAATCGATCTGAATAAGCCTCTTATTCCATGCGTGGGAATAGACGATTTCATCCAAAAGATCGAATACGAAGGTATGCAACAAAACTGCTTCAAATGTGGTACCTATGGGCATGCAAGAGAAGCCTGCCAAACCAATCAAGAAGAAAAGCAGATAGAAATCACTAATACTGACAATGTCATTGAAGAACAATCAAATACTGATAACAGTAAAGATAGCCCATTTGGCCCTTGGATGGTTGTTCAACCAAGAGGAAGAAATTATAGAACTCAAAGAACTCAAATTAAAAGCAGAGAAGTTGAAGGAAGGTCAAACCAAGGCTCCAGATTTGCCCCTCTCTGTGAAGATCCGTTGGAGGAAGGTCCTAGTGATAAAAATAAAGAAAACCAACATATATATAGGGGAGCTGATATACAAAAACATGCTGCAAAAACAATTACCCCAATGATTCATAGTTACTGATGACAGAAGAGAGATGCTCCTACCAACCTTGAAATTGACAATACACCAATAACAGGATGATGGATTGAGGAAATACGAGAAACAAAGATATTCTAACCAATAACATGCTGCAAAAACATGCTGATATGCAAAAACATGCTGCAAAACAAATTACACCAATAACAGGATGAGGGATAAAGGAAATACGAGAAACAAAGACATTCTAACCCAGGCGGATGAAGTTACAAACCAACCACAGAAGAGAGATGCTCCCACCAACCTTGAAATTGACAATACCAATTTAATTGATGTTCCCATTATTGATGGAGGAATGATAGTTGATAAAGATCATTCTAAGGAATTGAATATAGGAGGAATTTAGGTTATGGCAAAGGAATACGCCCGAATCAAAGAACACAATTTAACTGTGGGAAATGGCTCGCATACAGCTATAACCATTCAAGAGGACAATAACAACTGAAATCCTACTTCTAGATGGAAGTTTAACAGGAAGCCAAACCTAATCTCTCTCATCTCAATTAAGGCCTTAAAGTCAGGAAATCTAAAATTTCTATCAATCCTAACATTCCTTTACTTTTGGAATGGATCCAAGATAACACCATGAACTTTGAGAATTTAGCCCCTCTTGAAAATATCACTCCTACTAATAACCAAGACCAAATGACAGATCATATTAATCAGAGCCAGATGCAAGAAATAGAACAGAAGGAGAAGGAGCTGCCACAATGTAATTGTCCCCTAGCTCAATAACTATGAATTTCCTGCAACACCCAAGGGGTTGTAAAACCTACTTTTAGAAGACACTTCAAAGACTGTGTGATTAAGTACAAGTCTAAGATCATTGCTCTGATGGAAACACACACTAGTGCTAAAAGAGCAGATAGAATTATCAATAACATGGGTTTTAATAACTCTTTCAGAATTGAAGCTCAGGGTCACAGCGGAGGCATCTGGATGCTATGGGATAACTCAGTAAAGGTTAAGATTTTAAACATCTCCAACCAATATGTCCATGCTCGCTTCAAATACTTTAACAGTAACAGTTGGAACTATTTTACAACAATTTATGCTAGCCCCAACCTTAATGTTCGGGGTAAATTATGAGAACTATTGGATAACCTCAAGCCTTGTAATGATGAACCCTGTATTCTAAGAGGGGATTTCAATTACATCTTAAGATCTGAAGAGAGAATTGGTGGAAGTAATCGTTATAGAGGAGGGAATAAACACTTTCAGAAATTCATATTCAATAATGAATACCAAGGGGATGATTTTACTTGGCGTCGTGGTAATATTTGGCAACGTTAATGGCAATAAAAATAGACCTTTTAGATTTTTGCAAGCTTGGATGGATCACCCTAAATTTAGGTAGTTCATTAAAGAATAAAGGGTTAAATAAGACAGTATTATGGACAACCTCAACCATATCAAGCAAAGCATTAAATTTGGAATAGATAAATTTTTGGTAGCATCAATCAAAAGAAGAAAAGAATTCTTACTAGACTGAAAGGTATTGATAAAGCCCTACGCAGATATAACTCAAACTATTTGACAGTGCTCGAGACTGAACTCAAAACCGAGCTTGACACCATTTTGAGACAAGAAGAACTGCTTTGGGCTCAAAGGGCTAGATACAAGTGGATTAACCACGGTGACAAAAATACCAAACACTTCCATTCCTATACGATCACTAAAAGTAAAAGAAAGCTTATAACAACCCTTAAAATATACTCTGATACATGGTGTGAGGATCAGGATATGCTTAAAAACCATGTCAAGGACTTCTGTGAAAAACTATTCACTAGTGACCCTTTGATCAAACTATCTCTTGATAATAGCATGCTTTATCCTACTTTGAATTGGGATCAATGGAATTGGCTAGATAAACCTTTTGAGAATAACGAAATCAAAGAAGCCCTATTCAGTATGGGTACTCTCAAAGCGCCCGGTGTTGATGGATTCCATGCTATTTTCTTTCAAAATAATTGGGACGTAGTTGGAGAAAAAGTTTGCTCTCTAGTCAAACATTGCCTTAATAGTGGACAGATTGTGGAAGCCTTAAATAGAATGAGTCTGGTTTTTCTCCCCAAGGTGGATAACCCTGAGAGAATTAACCAGTTTAGACCTATAAGGCTCTTCCAGGTGACCTACAAAATTATTACTAAAGTCATTGTCAACAGTCTTAAGCCTATTCTCCTTACTATGATTTCCAATAGCCAAACGACTTTCTTTCCGGGCAGAGTCATTACTGACAATATTATTCTAACACAAGAAGTGATACATTTGATGAAAAAGAAGAAAGGAAAAAAAAAGGGTGGTTGGCCATAAAATTAGATCTTGAAAAAGCCTACGACAAATTAGAATGGTCTTTTGTTAAAGAGAGCATCGAGAAGATGGGGCTGCCTAATAAAATTATTGTGGCTATTATGAACTGTATTACCCCCATGACAATTCAAATTAATTAGAATGGAGAACTTATTGAACCTTTTCAACCTTCTAGGGGTATTAGACAGGGGGATCCACTTTCGTCTTATCTGTTTGTCATCTGCATGGAAAGATTAGCACAAGAAATAGCTTTATCAGTCAACCAAGGAAGGTGGAAACCTATTAAACTATCTAGAAATGGGCCTGACATCTCTCACCTCTTCTTTGTAGATGATCTCATCCTATTTGCAGAAGTGAACAACTCTCACATTAGAATCATTCATAACACAATCAACAAATTCTGCAATAGCTCGGGCCAAAAAGTTAGCCTTCAAAAATCTAATATCTTTTATTCTAATAATGTCAATGCCCATACCAGAACCAGTTTAACAAACTTGATTGGCATCAAAGAGGTTGAGAACCATGGAAATTACCTAGGAGTTCCTCTACTGCACAACAGGATCAATAAACGAACATATAACAACATCATTCAAAGAGTGAATGACAAACTTACATTGTGGAAAGCTAAATCTTTGTCATTAGCTGGAAGAATTATCCTTGCCAAATCTGTACTCAATTTGATCCCTGCATACACCATGTAATCAATCTTAATTCCCAAAGGAACATGCAATGAGCTTGAAAGACTTATAAGAAACTTCATTTGGGGAAACATAATTTATCAGAAGGGAGTACACCATGTGAACTGGGAAAATCTCTGTAAACCTATCAATGGAGGGGGTCAAGGCTTAAAAAACCTAAGATTCCAAAATGAGGCCTTCATTTTTAAACTAGCCTACAAACTTACTAATCGAACTGACCTTTTATGGGTGCAGGTGATGAGAAGTAAGTACAAAATGAAAGAAATTCTACATGAAGAGCTTGAAAAAAAGGGGAGGACCGCCTTTATGGAATCACATATGCTCCTTGTGGGCAAAATTCAAGCAAACATATGTTGGAATATTGGAAATGGCAACCATGTTGATTTTTGGCATGATAAATGGTTAGATAATAAAGGATCTCTTTCCAGACTCTGCAGTCAACCATTGGAAATAGAAAATGACGAGACTAAAGTCAAGGAGATGATCAACCAAAACGGTAACTGGGATTGGAATAAACTTACAATGCTACTGCCGGCCCAAGCCATTAATATGTTGAAAGCCACACCTCATCCAGTGGAAGAAAACCTTGAAGATTCCCCGGGATGGATTCTCTCGGAGAAAAGGATTTTCACAGTTAGATCTACATACAAGTGGATAGATAACATCAATAATGCTATGGAAGAGAAGATTTGGAGCATCATTGCCAAACATAACAACATTCCCAAAGTCAAAACTTTCCTATGGCTAATTGGAAGAAATAGACTTCTGACCCACTCAGAAAGAGCGAGAAGATATATGACGATGGATGCAAGTTTCCCTATGTGCAATTATGAAACAGAAGACATCAATCACATACTGAGATTCTGCCCTAAAACTTTGTTAATATGGACAGACCTGATTGACCCTCAGAAGATAGACAACTTCCTAAACTGTAATTTAAAGAATTGGATCATTGAGAACCTTGAAGCAACCCAATCCCCTTCGCCAAGAGTCGAGAGCTGGCCAAATTTCTTCAGCTCAGTTGATGTAAGGCTAATCAGGCTTCTTCAATAATGGAGAAGTTGGCAACCTTGTCGTTTCCCGATCTAGGAGAGACACCAAATGCTACGCCTTGAATTGAAAAATAATCTGCACAAAAGAAGAATAATTGGTTAAGTAAATGAATAATTAAGAAAGGAAATGGAAAGAATTGAAATGGATAGAATAGTTATCAAAGAAGGGCTGCGGAAGTGTTGTAGAATGATCCTTCAAGTGATGATGGATTCGACCTCCAATGGTGGTGACGGACGAATGCCTTGTTGAGGATGAAGGATAATTCAAAGATGAAGAATTGGAAATTTGAGAATTTGGTGATGATATAGGCATGATATGGTGATGGAGTATGGTGATGATATAGGCGTGATAATGGAAGATGGATTATGGTGATGGAAATAATATCTTATAAAACTAAGAAAGAACCAATGCTATAAAGAGCAAAGACCCGTTTCTTATAAGTCTTACAAGGGATGGTAAGAAAGGACTTTGACCCTCTAGTTATAAGAACTAGGAACCAGAAGTATCAATGAGGGAATGACGCCACAAGCTTTAGAAAGGCTTGCTTAATCGATATAGTTCTAAAAAGAACTTGAAGAGAGAATAATCTCACAAAAGGATTTTAATTGATCAAATGGTTGTTTACAAATGAATGCCAAAGCCTATTTATAGATTTATAAAGGCTTGGCCGAATAAATACATGCCTTTTCGGCAAAGTACATGTCTTAAAACGAAAATAAATGATGCTTGGATGAGGGGAGATGTCTTTGGCCGAATGGTTCCCATATCTCTTCATCTTGGCGCCAACTTGAAGCATGATGATGTTTAGGCCGAATAGAGAGAAGCCTCTTCATTTTGGCACCTATTTCATTCACATGCAAAGCACATGGGTGGCTGGTCATGTGGCACTCACATGGATGGTGTAGAATTCTTAAGGCGTGGACTCCTCCATGGCGTGAAGATGAACAGCAACTTAGGCGTGACTTGGTATCAAACATGTGTCTAGGTGACATGGCATCAATGGGGCAGCAACTAATTATGAAAGGTCACATTTGTGTGAAACAACCTTTCATTATTTGAGCTACTTCCCATGAGTTTGAGCTGAAGTTGAGCTGGCCATAGATGAAGGACATTTGTACAAGTCATAGGACAGCTCCTTGTGAAAAGGTACTTCTCGGAATGGCAACTCTTTGCGGAAAGGTACGAATCCACAAAAATTGACCTATAAAAGAAAGCATTTATAAGCTAAGTAATATAAGATATAAATATATGGTTCATATCAATAACTTCATACATTCATAATATCATCATCATAACTATAATTATAATGTATGTAAGCTATTATCATAACTATGGTATAAAGAAAGATTAAGTTAAGGAAAATCCCCCTTTGAATATTGAAAAAGGTTGGAGATGCAAGTCTATTTTTGACGCTGAATCAGATCACATCATCCCCCCTTCTTTAAAGCAATTTGTCCTCAAATTGAAGGGTGGTTTCTTTTCAACGTTCCTCCATTCTATAGTTGTTGTTTCGTCAGAAATTGGGATCCCTTCTTTAGGCTTTTGAGTGAGATATGCCCATGTGAATTTGCTCTGAATATTTAGATCCCTTGATATTCTAAAAGTGGTGTTTCTTAATACTCCAATAGACATGATCATTGAATTCTCATAGGTCACGACCATTGGCTCTTCTAAAGACACATTCTTTAAATGAAAATTGATGTCCTTTTGCTTTTGAATGGACACATCTTTTGGATTCCCAAAGGTCACGTCTCCTAAATCTTCATTTTGGCAAATGGTGCCTCTTGGTAAATCCTGCAAGTCAAAGAAAAAATCTGCATGTTCAAAGTTAGAATAATCATCTTTAACCTTGCATTTTGTCAATAGGCATTCTCGAATCAAACACTTTGAAGAATAAGCACTTGTTTTTGGATCAGTTTCTTTCACGGTTGTTGTTTTTTCTTTCCTCATAGCCTCAATACTCTGTTTCATTCTGACTTGATCATTCTGAACATATTTAGGCGTTAAAGGAGTTAGGATAATCTTCTTTCCTTTATGGCTGAACGAGTATTGATTGGTAAAACAATCATGAATAGTCCTTTTGTCGTATTGCCATGGCCTTCCAAGAAGTAGATGGCTAGCGTGCATAAGGACAACATCACACATAACCTCATCTTTGTATTTGCCAATAGAAAAAGGAACAATCACCTGTTTGCTAACGTTGAGTTCTCCTCGTTCATTGAGCCACTATAACTTATATGGATTTGGGTGCTTCATTGTTTTCAATCCAAGCTTTTCCACCATTATTGTACTGGCCACATTAGTACAACTTCCACCGTCTATAATAACAAAACATACCTTTTCATTCACATGGCGTCGGGTATGGAATATGTTTTCTCGCTGTGCATTATCTTCCGCAACTTGAAGATTCAAACTTCTTCTAATTACCAAGGCTTCTCCTTGATCAATGGGATATGCAAGAGTTATTTCTTCATTGACTTCAATGAGTGCCTCTTCTTCTTCTTCAGGTTCTGATTCTATTTCACCATTTCCAAGTAAGAGCATGGTATTCTGGTTAGGACATTGTGTAGCTATATGGCCCCTCCCAAGACATTTAAAGCACCTAATGTCTCTTGAATGTTCAGTAGTTTGCTTTCCTCGATTGGGGTCTTTACTTACTTGTTGAGTCTTTGAAGATTCGGATTGTTCTTTAACAGGAGGAGGAGTAGGTTTCTTTATGTTTGGATTCCATCTTGATGGTGTAGGCGTAACATTGCGAGATGTATGTCTCCTCTTCAGTTGTCGTTCAATCTTCATTGCCATTTACACCATCTCATCTAGTTCGATGTAATGATACAACTCTAAGGTATTGGCAATTTCGGGATTAAGTCCAACAAGGAATCTTGCCATAGTTGCTTCACGATCCTCCTCAATGTTGACTTGGATCATGGCCACTTCCATCTCTTTGTAGTAGTCCTCCAAACTCTTATGGCCTTGTTTAAGATTCTGTAACTTTTGAAACAAGTCACGGTGATAGTGAACAGGAATGAATCGTTTTCTCATAATACCTTTCATTTCAAGCCAAGTTGAGACCGGTCGTTCTCCATTCCTCCTTCGGTTAAGGGTAAGTTGATCCCACCATATTAAGGCATAGTCTATGAACTCCATGGCTGCCAATCTCACTTTCTTCATCTCGGAATAGTTGTGGCAACTAAAAACATGTTCCACTTTGCTTTCCAATTCAAGATAGGCTTCAGGATCAGTCTTTCCTTGGAATTGAGGAATTTTGATCTTAATGTTGCTCAAATTGTCATCAACAATGGCACGTCTAGGGCCTTAGAATGCTGCTTGTTCACCCTCGTCAAAATTTTCTTGAACAACTTCTTCTGGAGGGGGTGGTTGTTGTTGTCTTCTATTGGCTCCATTATTACGGGTTGGTGGTAGATCATGGTGTTGATCTATCTTTTCATGAAGAGTATCGAACTCTTCATGAAACATTCTCATCATTTCACCAATGAGTGCCTGCATTTGTAAGTTTTGTGTTCCTGCATTTCCTCGGGACTTTGAGACATGGTCAGTGAAATAAAGTAATTTAAAACCTTACCAGCACACTCACAAAAACCTCACGTGATCTCTCCAAGAAAATTCAGATTGCACTCCACTCACTCTCGTGTTTGCACTCGGGAATATGATCCTTGGTTTTTTTTCTGATCCCCCTTCTGATCTCACCCTCTCGTTTGCCTTTTACCGCTCGATTATCTCTTGTAGGTCCTTTTTAAGAACTAACTCAAGATTGAGCAAGTTTCTTTAGTTTGTGCGTCGGTTTAGAAATGGTTAGGGTATATGATAAAGGATAGGCTAGAAATGGTTAAGAAAGATGATAAGGTAATAGAATAAGAAAAGATGAAAGAAAAGGAAATGAAATAGTAAATAAGTGAAGATAACTTACAACTCAAGTTGCAACACTTACTATCTTCCTTCACAAGAAACAACAAGGATACCTCCTTCAAGTTTGATGTTGGGCAGATTGTATGGTGCTTCTCTTTGAGTATACTTTGCAACTTGCTTCACTTTTCTTTTGCTTTTGATTTTCTTCTTTTTCTTTTCTTTCTTTTGCACTCCAAATTTGATGTAGGAGTCTTTTTCTTTTCTCTTTTGTTTTCTTCTTTCTTGTTGCTTTTTTGTTGTTGTGGCACTTTGTATGTCAATCCACCAAAGCTCTGATTACCGTTTGATGTAAGGCTAACCAGGCTTCTTCAATAATGGAGAAGTTGGCAACCTTGTTGTTTCCCGATCTAGGAGAGACACCAATTGCTACGCCTTGAATTGAAAAGTAATCTGCACAAAAGAAGAATAATTGGTTAAGTAAATGAATAATTAAGAAAGGAAATGGAAAGAAATTAAATGGATAGAATAGTTATCAAAGAAGGGTTGCGGAAGTGTTGTAGAATGATCCTTCAAGTGATGATGGATTCGACCTCCAATGGTGGTGATGGACGAATGCCTTGTTGAGGATGAAGGATAATTCAAAGATGAAGAATTGGAAATTTGATAATTTGGTGATGATATAGGCGTGATATGGTGATGGACTATGGTGATGATATAGGCGTGATAATGGAAGATGGATTATGGTGATGGAAATAGTATCTTATAAAACTAAGAAAGAACCAATGCTATAAAGAGCAAAGACCCGTTTCTTATAAGTCTTACAAGGGATGGTAAGAAAGGACTTTGACCCTTTAGTTATAAGAACTAGGAACCAGAAGTATCAATGAGGGAATGACGCCACAAGCTTTAGAAAGGCTTGCTTAATCGATATAGTTCTAAAAATAACTTGAAGAGAGAATAATCTCACAAAAGGATTTTAATTGATCAAAGGGTTGTTTACAAATGAATGCCAAAGCCTATTTATAGATTTGTAAAGGCTTGGCCGAATAAATACATGCCTTTTTGGCAAAGTACATGTCTTAAAACGAAAATAAATGATGCTTGGATGAGGGGAGATGTCTTTGGCCGAATGG